CTGGACAGATATAACAAACTAATAGATGAATATAACAGACTAATCTGGGATGAATAGAAAAATGGGATAATAAATATAAAAACCTAGGTATGTGACCTTCTACATATATATAATTGTCCTTATAATAGGCAAGATCTTCTGACTGGTTCTTTACTGAGTCTATGGATAAGGTGGAGTGTTGAATGAATGCAAAGTTACCTAGAAGTCTCTCTCCCTCACCTCTCTTTCTGTTGACTCTGGGGTCTTAAGACTTCTTGGCATTCTCTGCCACTACCCTTGGCTTATTCTTTCCAGAACTCCAGTCCTTTTCCTCCCCATCGAAATTTCCCCCGCCAGTGTTCCATTGCCTCTGAACCTGGCTAGATGGCAGCCAACTACTGAGATAAGCTGAACCAATAACATGGTAGTAGGTGTTTATGAATGAAAAGATCATATTTCCTAGATACTACATTAGGAAGTTAGCTTAAGTCTTCTGGAAATGCACCGCTTAGCTCAAAGAAAGCGGGTAGAGAACCAAAATAAAGAGTTTCAGGGATGTGGGTAGAGGGCCTAGAGTTCCTCAGAACACAGCTTGAGGCTGCCAGCTCCATGGAGGAAGAGGCCAGCCATGTTTGTGGGCAAAAAATATGGCTGTGAGAAAAGGAATGAAAGAGTTGTGTGTCTGCCCAGTAATGTAAGCATCGGCTTTTGAAATGTTCTTACAATTTTTAAAGAGACACAGGATCTCGGGACATCCTGGCCTTTCTATTGAAATCATCCTCTGCTTTGGACAACATAAGAGTTAAATTTCCTATGGCATGTCTACTGTATTTGTACATTTAGAAATCAATTAGTGTAATTGGGGCAATCAGAGATGCTAAACAGAGGAATAATTTACTGAGAACAAATGTCTGGAATTGTGTATTTTGCCAATGGAATTTCTCACAGTTGGTACAAGAAAATACTCCAAATTAAATCGTTCGGGCTGAATATAACTTTTTTCCTTCTTAAAAATGTTAAAAGAAACACAGCCTGGCTGAGATCTCTTCCCCCTCCCATCAGACAGATTGCTTCTCAGAAGAATCCTCTAAATTGACATTTTACCTGAAAAAGAGCAAAGGCAGATGAAAAATTTAAGTGCGTGTGCTTGGCATGAATATTTTTGCCCCCAAAAAGAGCTTTAAAAGGTTGTCTGCTCTGTTAGGACGGAGTGGAACGAGGTCATATGGGGCCAGGTGGCCTTAGAGGCTCAGTATAAGGAATATGTGAAACTTAAAAGGCTTCAAAGAATATCGCTCCCACCCTAACAATGAGAAAAGGCTGGGTAGTCTAAAGAATTGCAATTTTTTCTGAACCCATTGGAAGGCTGAGGTAGCAAGTCAACCACGTTAACTGAATTCCAAAGAGAGACAAGCCCCTCCAAAGAGAGGGCCACTATTTCAGCTTTGGCAGGTTACAGGAGAAAGGGGCAGTGGCATACAAGCCAAAATATTAATGAATTCTTAGAGGCCAATGTGGGCCAGTGTGTCTGGAATAGGCTTTTCTCCACAGGCCTCCACCAAGTCCTCATGAGAAATATTGGGATAAGTCAGGAGACCAGAGAGAGGCTCCCTCGGTGGCACAGGAATACAAGAGGTGTTTGGTGGCTGTGGAGGCAGGAGTGAGGGGAGGAACTTTGACTGTTTTGTCTGCTTCCCCAGACTCTTCCTTCATGTGAAGCAAAAACAAGCCCTCAGATCACAGGCAAAAATTCATTCTCCATGGGGAGGAATAGAAACAACTGCCTTTGCTTCTAGGGAAGCATAGGAAACAGTCCTGTCCTAGGACACAGGCTGAGATCCAGGGCGACTACAGGAAAGATCGAGACAAAACCCTCTACTCCTGCGCAAGGGCAGGAGACAGTCTCGGACCAGGATCCTACACCAATAAGGAGCTGCGGTCTGCTACTGCTGGAGGAGGAGCAAGAAAACTCCCATCCAAGGCAGAATACAGAGACGAGGCAGTTTTTGCTGCCACAGAGAAGACGGGAAGGGATGCTAAAATGAACAAACAAAACAAAAACAAAAACCCTACCTTTGAGACCCAGGCACACAGCCTGCTTAAGATTGAAGCTGGACCAGGACAAAATGGAACTTCTGTGCTCTTGCTGCTCAGCCTCTTGTAACAAGGAAGGGTATACTACTGCTGGGAGAAGGGTGAGAGCACGGAGAAAGACCCCGTTTGAGGCACAGGCATGCAGGGATGGCTGAAAGCCGAGGGGAGATTGAGAACACAGGAAACCCCTCTGCCACCTAGCTCCTATTCTAAGCTTAAGGTAACAGCAGTCTACTCTAGAGGAATTTGAAGGCTGTGGTGCACTGAAGGTAACAACAAAACTCAGACCTAGATCAACTCCTGACTCGATTGACTCAGCTCCCCGCCCCCCACCCCAGCCCCATGGTAATGACTTCAGAGGAGAAGATGCTAAAACAAACCCTGGGAAACTCAGGTTGATTCTTTACGTGGCTGTGCCCTAGAAAGGCTGTGTGACCTTAGCTAATCATTTGACTACTCTGGCGCCTGATTCCCTCAGCATTCAGGGTGTCTAATTTCCCTTTCCACTCCAGCATTCTCTGAGCAGACAGCGTGTCTAGAAGTTCTCTGAATCGAAATCCCGACCCTGGCTCCAAAGAGCAGGGACAGTCACCCGGAGCGGCAGTCACGGTAAACAGTAGGTGTTTTCCTTCTAGACTTGCCAGTTTCCCAGCTTTGAGGCATTCAGGACCAGCGAATGCTCATGGAAAGTGATTGTGCTGTGCAAGTAAGCACGAAAAGCCACAGTCAGCACTGCCACACTTGCTGCTGCCACAGCTGAGTCCCCTGAGATAAGCTGACTGCAGCAGCTGCTGAGGCTCCCGCAGCCGCAAACACCACCCCAATTCCCAAGTAATCACAGGGTGCCTGCTAGAACCTTCCAGACAAGGCCGTGTTGCAGATAGCAGTGCTCTGGAGGGAGAGAGACTACTGGGCAGACCCGCCCTAGGGTAGACTTAAAGATGCAAAGCTGGAGGGAATGGCTCCAGGCTCCCAGAACAGTGTCACTCGACAAATTGCTTTTCAGTGAATTTGTGGTTTGCAGATTGATTTGAAGGGAACTGATTTCTTTCAGTGGGGTACTTTCCTCCTTTTCCCAGATTCCTTTTCTATCAAGACTGCAGCTTACCTTCAATCACTTTCTCCCTTTCTGTTATCAAACCTGGCTCTGACTTAGACTTTATCTGATAAACTCATTCACACTGGGTATGTGAATAAGTCATCTTAAATCACACCTCTTTAGACCCTACATTTGATGGCAGTTCAAAATCTGCAAGAGGAAGAAATCCAATGGAGATTTTCAGACATTTGCATGGGGGAATATTGGGTGAAGGGGCCTTCCCATTCCACCCCTCCCCACCCCCAACACACACACTTCACCCATACAAACCCTGGTGAGGCTGGCTGTGCTGACGTACAAAGATTTGGCCAACTGCACTCTGCCTGTTTGGGGTGCAGGGCAGGCCCGATCTAAATAGGAAGTAGGTGAAGTTCCCTTCGGAGCTCATTCTTTTCTCTGACACCCAAGGCATCTGTTATATTTGCCCTAAGTTCTATACACCTTCCATTTTCCCATCACCAGGGTACCTGTCTTGTGTCGCTTCAGTAATTACTCATTGCTTTCCTCTGCTGGTTTTAGCACTACCACTCCCAGGCAGAATATTTGGTTTTAACAAGAATCTGCTGAAAATGATGCTGTGACACAAAAGGGAGAGTGGGAACTTCAGGAACCCGTGGTGGGGCTGTGGAGATATTTGAGGATAGGTGCGTCAGGGACCCCCCAAATCCTACCATCAGGACCCAAGCCCCTCCATCTTGATGGCAAGGGTCTTTCTTATCAGCCAGCGCTGGTGGTGGCTCCGGAAAGGAACATGCTAGAACATAGCAGACCGAAACAAGAGACAGGAAAGACGAGTGGGCGAAGAGGGGAGATCTGCTGATGGGGAAGGAGGAGGGGAGGAGCCGGACGTAAGCATCGGGGATGGAGATCACTTACTGACTAAAATCATTTTCTGCACAGAGCCAAGGTCTGCTCATCCTTCGGAACTGAAATTTAGTTCATTGAAATTAGTTCCGTCATGTTGTCAGACTTATTTGTGGCTCTAAGTAGCACTATTTGAAGTCAGCTTCTGCAGGAAAGTTTGAAGGCATCCGAGTGCAGGGATCAGAAGACCAGGAGGTAGGAGAGTGAGAAGTGAAACCTGAGCCGGGCTGCTTTCTCCAGGGCAAAGTAGTAGTTTGGCCAGATACAGTTGATACCTCAGTCAGTCGGGTAGTGAGCATCCTGCTTTTGTGGACTGATGATTGGGGGTGGAAAATGTTCATTTGATTCCCGCTCCCTGCTAAAATTTAACTGTCAGACAAACTTTGGTCACATTTCAAATGGCAAGGTGGCAAAAAGGCTGTTTTAATACTGATTCTTCTGCTGAGGAAATCTTATGGCTGGGTGGTTGATGGTATTTAGTTTTCATATCACTTTATCTCAAAAGTTATTATTTTATTAAATATACATCTATTTCTACAAATGTTTGGGATGCACCGGTATGGCCTCTTTGCTTTCTCTGGTTGTTGCTATGAAAATTAACCAGGGGGTTGAAGCTATACCCTTTCGATTAAGTGAATACCTGAAGCCTGGCTAACATCTGAATTGCGAGGTCACCCTTTCGGCTTTGTGAGCGCTTCCCCACACTCAATTCATATCCAGGAGGTGGTGGTCTTGTTATCACCACCTCTTTCTTTCCCTGCTCTTCCGTTATCTGGCGCTCCTACAGAACTGCTGCTAGGAGAGGCTGGGCTGGCTCTGCTCTGTGCCTGTGCTGAGACCGCTCGGGTCCCCTCCAGTCCCTCCCTTCCAGCCCTTTGTAGGGAAGGAGTGTCATTCCAGCCCCTCGGAACAGCAGGCCGCACAGTCTCACCGACCACTCTTCCTGCCTCTCTGTTCTTTACAGAATGGGCTGAACGGCTTGCACCTGGCCTCTAAAGAAGGCCATGTGAAGATGGTGGTTGAACTTCTGCACAAAGAAATCATTCTAGAAACAACAACCAAGGTACGTCTCTTAGGGAGTGGGGGGGCTTTACACTGAAAATTCTAGTGTGTGGGTCCCTTGTGTGTGTCCCAGATCCCGGCATAAAACCCAAACTTGCTTCTGAATTTCTCTTGCCTTTCTAATCATTTCCTAGTTCTGTGAGTCCCTGAAATCACCTGAAAACACAGGACATTATTTCCACAAAGTTTCAGTGGGCCTTTATTTTATCCTCGTCCCTAGACTAGAAGCCTAAAAATAAAACCCTTTTTCTGGTGGACCATTTTCAGGCTTCTTGACTCAAATACAGGGACTAAGAGCATTGTGAACCCCACAGTCAGGTGCCTGTGGTCCAAATCCTGAGAGTTCACACTCCATGACCTAAAGCAAGATGCTCAGCCAGTGAGAAGCCTCTACTTCATTATCTATGAAATGAGGATTATACCACTTAGTTGTAGGATTGGCATGAAAATGAAATAAAATAGTGTATATAAAATACCTAGGAAGGAATCTAAAAATATTGATGACTGTGTTGTTACTGAGGACTGTAGAAAAATCAGACCCCTCATTTATCCTCTGCACCAAGCGTCTTTCTTGGTCAGCCCCAGACCTGTCTCCTCTCTTGACTGATTACCTTGAGCAGCCTTTTCTTTCACTAGGAGGCATTCGGCAGAGGCTGCGTCACACCTCTCACAGTGGTCTATATCTCCCCATAGCAATAGATTATAAACACCAGCGGCTTAAGTCCAGAAACCACAGTCATGAAATATGCAGCTACAAGTTGCGAAATCAGTTTTATATCTGACATACATGCATCTCGTTTGTTCATTAGGCAAGATGCAGCCAGCATTGAAACACAAAACTAAACAAAAAGTCTCCTCTGTTTACCGATTTGAGCCCTGTTTCCTCTTCTCTTCCTTCCTTGGTTACCTCCCACAGTTTTCCTCTTGGGCTTGTTCCTCAAGCCTCTAATTTTCCATTTGTTATTTATTAAACATGGTCTCACATCAGCCTCAATTTCGGTTCCACACAGCAAACATTTTGCTGCCTCTCAAGCAGAGAACCAGAAGAACACTATGTAGAGAACAGATATAATTTATAGTTATGAAGTGAACGACCAAAATATTATGAAAGTAGAATCATCTCTTGAGGTAAAATTCTGTAATTTTCATGTCATTTCCTGAAGGTGAAAAGATCTCTCAGGTAAAATAGACGGAGTTGCTCTTTCTGAACGTGTATGGGGCATTTTGCTCCCACCCCCTGAAGAATACCAATTGTTTCCACGCTGTTCCTCTGTGGGTGAAGGGATGAAATTAGTTTTTCTCTGATGCTTTCACATACCTGGCTGCAAGCAGTGTGCCATCTGACGGGCCCTGTGTGGGCCACAGCCGCCTTTCTTCCTCTGGCATTCCCCCAAGAGCTGCAAAAACATTATGCCTCAGCATTTTTACTCTCCGAATTTCCCCCTTTGATTGTTATTTTGCAAGTGAACACTTGGAGTGCCTGTGTTATTTATAGAAATTTTATAAGTCAGCGTGGTTTCTGAATGCCAAACAGAGAGAGAGAGAGAGAAAAAAAAAAAGGTGAAACTGAAACCGTGGGCTAAGAAAGACTCATAACAGATTGAGGAATTGTAATGGGTCTCGCAAGCCTGAGGAAGATTAAAAACAGAAAAGAATAAAAAGCCAAAACCAATATAGTTTCCTAAACTGTGCTTAGAAATTTTAAAAGCAGAAAACAAATGCATTCTCTCCCCATCCTGCTACTCCCACAGCTTGGAGGCCAGAGCTTAGCATCCACTATGGTGAGAGAGCTCCGATCCCCCGTCACATTCACTCAGCTCCTACTGCAACCACCCTCCCTTCCCCGAGCTCTAGGACTCCCTGGAAATGGAAATTGGGTCTTTGTGGATCAAATATAGCTAAGAGATTTTTCCTGCTTCTTCAAGGGCATGTTTTTTCATGCTGCGGGAGGGCCCATGACCCCCTCTCCCTGTGACTACTGACCCAGGGACAGGGGACCTTCTTTGAGGCTGACAATGTGTGCGTGTGTGTATAGATGGAGAGGGGCGCTGTTCCCCAGGGTCTTCCCTTTGCTCTGACTCTTCATCGGTGCTCCCCTCAGTCCGGATCCAGAAGACAGCTACGATCTACAGCCAGAATCCCACATCCGAGCAGCTTCCCTTCACAGGGTTTATACGGGGAGAGCTCCCCGTATAGTGTGATTTCAGGCAGGAAGATGCAGGTGGAAGAAACATTCGACATAGCTTCTGGAAGGCAGGGAGTCTGAATCTCAATCATATCTGGATCTCCATGCCTGACGCAGAGCCTGACATACACATGCGCTCACCGCGTGATGAATGAATGAATGGACACAGCGTACCTCTTTCTTCTAGATGAAGAGACTTGGAGTTCTGAGTCCTGATTTCTAGAGAAGGGCCTTGTTCCACCTTGTACAGAGCGTGAGTCGGACCCAAGTGCCAAGGCTTCTAAATGTAGGCTCTTTAGACTTCTATGAAAAATGATTAATTAGCATCTATACATTCGTTTCTGGCACTTATTCTCTGACAGATATTTGAAGAAGAGCCCTTTTGTTTATCAAATGGGACTTAAGAAAAAATCAAAAAGATAAGTTCAGGTCAGGAAGCAACAAGCAGGAACCTCCTGCCTGATATAGGCCACACTTTAGAGGCAAAGACCTGAGCCCCTTCTGGCCCCCCAGAGCGCATTCGGTGGGGATGACTCCCCCATCTGCGGGTGCTTGGGGCAGCAGTGACTGGGTGGCCACAGAGCTTGGACCCTGTGCTACTCAGTTCCACCGGGGTGGGGACCTTTTACTCCCAGGTAACAAAGGGCCAATGTACATGGAGTGGGTTTGAAGGTACTGCTTGTCAGGACTTGAGTTTCCTGAGACTGATTAGTAAGTATTTATGTGGTTTAGTTAAAAACTATATACTGTCTGAACTAGAAAAAATGAGGTCGTTTGAGATCTCTGCTCCTTAATAGCAGAGGGACAGATGGGTCCAGCTGTGGTCCCATTTTCTCCCTCCTGCCCTATTTGATAGAAGTTGTTGGGCGGGGCCTGCGCTGCCCGCGTCTCACTGAGCACAGGAGCCAGTGGGGTCATGGGGGAGAGTCACCCTTGGAGAACATGCTGACATTCCAGCCCTGGACATCCAGGAGACAGGAACGAGCTGGGCAGGGAGACCAGTGTCCTGGAGGAGAAGCCTGCTAAACCCAAACCCTGTCTAGGAATTGTTAAATACCCAGGATGAATCCATATGCAAAAACCTGAAAGTTCCACTCACCTTCCCAGAACCTGCCTGGTTTCTTAGTCTCTGTTATCAATTCTTCGCTTTTAAAAAATTTACTTTAAAATAATTTTGTATTTCATTTTGTCGTAGTATCTATTCTTTCTGGCTTTTCTCTCCTCTGTTATTTGATGAACCCTGGCTCATTATATTTTACTAATTAATATTTCAAATATCCTTTCTTTGTATTTTCCTTTGCCAGATTTTATCCTATTTTATTCTATTTACTTTGCCCATTTATTTTCATATTTTTCTTATCTTCCCTGCATACATTACATAGTTTATTTTATTACCCTCCCCCAACTCCTTTACATATTTCTACCCTTTTTTTTTCTGTTTGATATTTTACTTGATTTCTTCCCCTCTCATTCCCTCTGTCCACTTTGGTCCAGCTTTTGCTCAGTGGTCATTACTGTAATAGCATCAAGGGTGCTGAGCCCTCAGGATCTGCTGGCCTTTTCTGCAGAGTTCCAGCCCTCACATTGCATTGTCCTGCAGAGTTAGAGATTGGGAGGAGCTGGAAGTCCAAAGAAGGTTACTTGCCTGGAAAACGTCCAGTATGGATCCTGAGCAATGCCGGCTGTCTGTCAGCTGGTGACAGGATGCTGCGGCTACATGCAGTTGATTAGTGTTGAGGTGTTGGCTTTCTTCTTCTTTGGCATTATTTCATCATGGAGAACAGGAATAATTTCCTTCTTTGTGCTTTCAGGACTATTTCAAGATGTGTGGTGGGTCAGGCACGTACATGTCTACCCCTTTTGGCCGTAAAGAAAACCACTGCCCGCTCTCAACCAGCACCCCTGTTTCTGTCCCTTTGACAGTCACTTACACAGGCCCCGTGGGAAACCTCCTCTTCTTCCTCCCCACTGTGTTTCAGAAAGGAAATACAGCTCTGCACATCGCCGCCCTTGCTGGTCAGGACGAGGTGGTCCGGGAGCTGGTCAACTATGGCGCCAACGTCAATGCGCAGTCACAGGTGATGGCTCTCTGCAGTCCCGCGCTAGAGAGCGCTGCCTTCCTTCTTCACCCGTGCGTCCGTTATCCCGTGGGCATATTGGCTATCGAGGTAGTCTACACACTGTGTATCTGAGTCTAGATTTATTCGTGATGTGTCTCCAAGCAATGAAGAAGGCATCCTTTATTTTTTTCACGCTTCTGCTACATATGCTAAGCATAATGTGGTTGGTTATTGTGGACCCCCTTCCTTGTTCAGGTAACCAGCCAAATAGTATATTTAGTTATGACTCATGTGGGGAGAAATATATGGGGACATTGATGAAGAAGGGAGTGAAAATAGAGGGGAGGTGTGTGCGAGAGGCCGAGTGATGGTGGCGTCGGGCAAAAACAGACTTCCCTGGAGTGTGGCCCCCACCTCGTGGCCTTTTATGATAATCCCACTAAGCCGTTTATTTTTTTAAATTTATTTTAAAATTTTATTTTAAATTTTAAAAAGTTAGACGTTTATACAATCCATAAAATGATCCCCCGATGACTCTAGCACTCATCTGGCACTTCACACAACCATTACACTAATATCGACTATCTACTCTATGCTTGCTCTAAGCCATTTCAGAGTGGCAGTGAGTTTTTATAACTGGAGAAATGGGTGGGGATATTAGAGGATTTTGCATGGTTTTAGCATCTCTCCCTATGGTGGGTGAATTGTAATGACTTTATCTCTTGGTTTACAGAAAGGCTTTACGCCCCTGTACATGGCAGCACAAGAGAATCACTTGGAAGTGGTTAAGTTCTTACTGGAGAATGGAGCTAATCAGAATGTAGCCACAGAAGTAAGTACCTTGGGAAATGGCCTCACCGCTGGAGGTCTCTGGGGGTAGGACATGGTTGTATGTTCCTGGGTCGTGGCTTGAGATGCATCCTCTGTCATGATAACTGTAAAGTGTCATTGAGTGCTCTTGACCTTCAGATCACTGCACTAATCCTGGCTGCTATCAGGCTCTGCAAGGGAGTAAGAGACAGACACATAGCAGAGAAATGACATCAGTCTAACATGTCAGTCCCACTATAACCAACAGTGAAAGCTGGACAGGAGTGGGGGTGGTGTGGGTGTGTCGGGCTGACAAGTCTGCCTTGGACCTTAATGAGATAGGCTCTTGCCATGAGTCCACTGTACGCTCTTGGGCAAATCACTTCAGCTTGATCCTGAGTTTTGTCATTGGCGAAATGATGAAACTGGACTTAAAGCTAAGAGTTCTCTTGACCCTGAATATGGTAAGACTCAACAATTACATGACTTTGTTATCATTCTGCTTTGCCAGTTCATGGGGTCCTGTGGCCCTCAATATACAACTGAGTGAATTAATAGAAGTAGCTCACAATTGCATCCTCAGTAGGAGTTCAATAATATTTGTGAAATGAATAAATGAATGATTGTCTGCCACGTTTAAGGTGCTGCCTGGTCCCAGTAGATGAGTGAGAAGGAGGGCAGGTAACGAAACAAAGGCTTCTCAAGAAAAACTACTGTAGTCTCTGTGAGGTTGAAGAGAAAGAAAGTGGGGCCAAGAATGGCTTAGCGGGGAGGTGGCATTTAAGAGGAGCTTGAAGGATGAGGAGAGCTTTGAAGAGCAGAGAATTGGAGACTGAGGGCCTGTCACAAGCAAAAGCCCTGAGATGTGAAAGCATGTGTCCTGCCTTGGGGACAGCCAGAGGTCAGACGCAGTCAGAGCAAATCCATCTTTCTTCCTCCTCTCTGGCCAGGACGGCTTCACGCCTCTAGCTGTGGCTCTGCAGCAGGGCCATGAGAACGTGGTGGCACACCTCATCAACTACGGGACGAAAGGGAAGGTGCGCCTCCCCGCCCTGCACATCGCGGCCCGCAACGACGACACCCGGACAGCTGCGGTGCTTCTGCAGAATGACCCTAACCCGGATGTGCTTTCCAAGGTGAGGACAGCCAGATGGAGGACCAGGAGACTTCTAGGGCCTGGATAGTGGAGACATATAGGTTACAAAGGGACCATCAATTCCCAACAATTTCCCCAAGCACTCACCCAGACCAGAGATGGTGCTAGCTGTGCACATGGAGCACCAGCCCCACCGTGACTTCAGATCCCCACCAGGACATATAAGAGCCACAGAGGACAGCTCCACTTTAAATCCCTGGTGAATGCCAAGAAAGCTGTGCTTGGTGTGGAGCAGGGAAGGTTCTTATTGCTCCAGGCCTTCCAGAAAAGTGTCTAGGTGGGCAGGAAGGGTCTTTGGCCGGAGTGAAACTTTGGAATCCCAGCAGATGGTCTTCTAGAATT